CCCCCCCATGCAAGCCCATGCTCAAGTACTTTTTGTCTGTATTTTCCAGGTTATTTTCAAACACAACCTTTCCATTGCCATTTCGCAAAAAAAAAGTCATCAGCTTCTTAAAAATAACTATCCAATTTCACAGAATTGTCATAAAAATACGTTATTTCTAGTGCATCAGAAACTACAGCTAGAATTTAGAATTTATGGGTTGTGAAACTTGTTTGTAAACACACGTCTTTGGTTGATAAATATCCAGATCTTACTTCTATAAACAATGGAAAAATACAACGTTGCCAACTCACATCAGTTTTTTATTATCGCTTTCTTGTTAAGGACAGCGAAAATGGGGCGAGAACCTCCACTCCAGCAAATTTTTGTAACTTCCTAGCTCTTGTGGTTAGGAAGGAAAAAAAAGTTTGAAATATGACATACAGCCATCTGAAATCAAGAGAGGAAGTGGTAAGGAAAAGATTATTTTAGACCAACATTGTAAAGAAACAAAACATGACTTCTTGGCCTCTGTGCATTACTTAGCATAACTACTAGGGAGGGAACCAGGACTAATTCAACTTAAATAATTAATTCAACTTAACTCAATGGGGGTAAACTAGGCTCAGCTTCCTACCAGATTGCTAAAATGAAATGGTCGAGAGAAGCGAAAAAAACCCCTAACTACAGAATTTGAACAGTTAAAATTTGTATCAATACTTCCACGAATATTATGGAATCTGTATTACATTTTCACAGGACCAGGCTACTCACATCCTGTCCTAAATCACGGGGAAGAATCTTACACAATCGACACTTTACCTTCCCACGACATATCTGAGGACTGTAAATCGTGAACACAGATTTATCAGGGAAATGAGGAGTGGGAAAGACAAGTTGCCCTTAAAGATGTACAGATTTATAGCAATATGGGAAGCGGAAAGACGGTTATCATATAAAAAGGTCCTTAAGGGATAGCAAGGAGCAACAAGGGAAACATGAGTCATGAGCTGCCAGAGAAGAGGATGCGTACAGGGAGCAATGGACAGAGCAAAGTAGCAATAAAGGAAGTTCCAAGTCAAATGTGTTCCTTCCCAAAGGTCAAGACGGATAGCCAAGCTTGCAGTATTTATCGAAAATTAAATTCCCAGCCAATTCAGACATAGTAGCAACAGCAACACTGGGAAAGGGACACTCGCCGACTGAAAGGATCTATTGATAACCAAGGTCATAAACCACAGCTCTCTTCTTTTGCTTCGTTACCAACTCTGCGTCTTTATTTTCCTTACTAAGAGTTGCCTTGAAGGTCCGTCTGCATAGGCAAGTGGCTCAACACGAGCGAGTGTGCAAACTTTGAAGCATTCAGCTGAGATTGTGAAAGATGGTTTCATACTTTGTGAGGCTGGAGTAAGCTTCTCTATTTAAAGGCATATTAACAGCTGTTCCTGTGGTGAGATAGCCATGAGTAAATAGTGAATTATGAGCCCAAGCACAAAGTTACTACACTCCTGACTTTCCTTTCCCATCCCAGCAAGCCGCAAAAGTGTCAAACTCCAAATTATGGCACAGGATTCCTCACATCCCCAAGTATCTCAAGATTTTAAAAAGCAAGATTTTTAAAAGTGACATCCAAGAGTTTAAAAACTGGCTACTTTTGAGACAAAATACAATACATGGAAGCTGAAGAAAAACAGTTTTTTGTGCGTGAATATAATCTCTACGAAGGTCTACCAAAATCTCAAGACAAGTTGCACAGGAGTTTCTAAACAAGAAGTAACTAATTCTCCTCTTAGTCCAGTAGTATCCACATCAAAGGTGAAAGTAAATATGCCAGTAAATACTTCAAAGGCTTGATAAGTCATATCTTTAATATAAAAAAACTGTAGTAAAGAAAAAAAGGGAGGAAAAAAGCATACCTCAAATTGTATCAAAACCAAGAAAGCTTCACCTTAGTTATGACAGCTTTTCTACCCAGATTTTACGTGAAAAATATGTACATAATAACCAAACGTATACTTCAGAAAATAGCCTGACTTACTTAAAATTATTTTTCAAGGCAACTTAAGTATTTTCAAGTCAGGTAGGCTACCAAAGCATTTCCAAGCAACTAAAAATCATGCAGCACCCTTCCTATTTTGCAGAGAAAACAGACATGAAGTTAGCTGCCTATCCCAGTTTTAAGTTCAGTGAAAACAAACAGTAACACATCTGTACTTACTTCAGTCTTGAGCAAGATGCGTCCTTATCGGTACAATCTTAAAAAGCACATTGGGTGCCTACAACTGAGGTGTTAGAAGGTGTAAACATCAAAGAGCCTAACTGAGTCAAGGTGACCCCAGGATGCAGATCTCAGGAAACCTCCGTGCCCTGTACCATTAGCGGGGTCCCAGGACTCAGCCTTCCCCATCCCCCAAGTGATTGCTGAAACCATAAAGTGCCATCAAAGGTGGCACTGCCACTGCCACTTCTTTTTCCAGACCATATTTACAACTGAAAATGACCATAGCTACTACACTTTGTAACTCCGTTCAACACCACAAGCGCTGTTACCTGTTCACTAATTAGGCTCTCCTTTGGGACTTAGGAAGAGCCAAACAGCAACTTTGCTTCACAGCTGGATTGCAGGGGAGCTGAAAGATCAGCATCAAGCTCCACAGGCATATTCACACATGCAAGGAAGTTCAAGTTCAGGCACCTGGAACATCTCCGGCATGAAACATCTACAACATGATGGGGATTTTCAGTACGTTTTTTAGATGTGCAGGAGATATCCTGATCCCAGCCTGAAGAGAAGCACACAAACCCCACCGAAGTTGCACTACAGACATTTAGAAGGGTGCTCCAAGCCATTCTTTAGCCAGATCCAACAGGGTCATACAATAATGTAAGCGAAGAGCCAGGCCCGTAAGGCTGGAGCCCCAGTGGCTATTCTTACACTCCGATTACACATTTCTTCCTATGCCATCTTCAGTGACCCAGGCTTGGTATTATCAAGATAAACATTGTAATTGGGAGGCTTAAAACCTCATCAACTCCGTTCTGAATAAACACACTGTGCCTGGCAACTATACTTTAATTCTCAGGCATATATTCCTTTGGTGTCAGTTTTAGTGGCTCGGAACTCACGCAACAGCTGAAGGCACAACACCCCCAGCCATCCATTTACACTCCTTGGCAGCATTTCAGAAGCCAGGACGACACCAGTTTGCGGTACAGATGAACAGACGGACTGACCTGATTGATGGAGTTGGCAGCACAGGACGCCAGTCCAGTTCCGAGGGAGGCAAGCAGGAAACAGGTCAGGTCAAAAGGGACCGGGGCCATGGCAAAGCCAGCAGACGTGGTGCTTACAACCAGAGCTGCAACACAAGCGAGAGCACAGTTCAAAGCATCAACAAGAAACCATCTCTTTTGTACATGCCACTAGAGTTAAGGTTTTTAAACCCTGTAAGAACCCTTGTGCAGATTAACTTTTTGCTACTTTTATGGATCAAAGCAGCTCCAGGAACTGAGTACAATTAATACTAATACTCTACACAAAGAAGACAAAGATGAGAAGAACTGTCAAGGATGAAATGAGAAACCCAAAAGCCTCAGCACATTAGTAGAAGAGGTGAGAATGAAACTTATGCCTCTGTTTTCCCTATTTTATGGATTTGCTACAGGATCTACTGCCTCACGCAACACATACATGAGATACATTTGTTCCAGTAACTCAAATGCCATTGCAAAGTCTAAAGTGGAAGAAAAACAGTAAAAAAAACCCTGAACTAAGAGATATGCATTATATCAAAATATAGCAGCAACTTAAGCAGTGCAGAGTGTCGAAAAGACTGAGGGCATGTAGGTTATAGCTGGTGAAGTCAGTAACTTCACTGCACAAGTATTTGCCCACCCTGTTCCCATTTGACATGCCCACTTCAGGGAAAAGGTACAATCATGTCACCACATGGACCTAGCAACTTTTAAAGGCCTCAAAATTTGAGTGGATTAATAAAAATCCATTTCAGATTTGTCATCCAAAATTATAACTTTAGTACAGTACTGCAAATGACATCCTTAAAATGAAAGTTACCCAAGTCTCAATCATAATATTATAATTACCCAAATAACAGGTCTTATGAACCTCACTTTTGGCAAGAAATAATATTCTTATACTATAAAAGTCAGCACATTTACTGAATATCTTGCTCATGACCTTGAATCTTACAATCTAAAATTAACAGTTATTAAACGCAAAGTATTTAAGTAATATTTTGCATGTAATTACATGTTCCAGACCTCAGCTGGCTCAAATCAAAGAATCTAAATATTCTTATCTTCCCGATGCCTACACTCTCCTGTTTGTCTGAAGTTAAATGACAAATAAATGATCTTTGCTGGCTGAAAATACCTGGATCATCTACTAAGCAGCATTATTTGAGATAAAAAACTAAATGTCATGGCAGAACCCTGCCAGGAAGGATGCACATGCAAAGTGCTAATTTTAAGAACTGTGCCTGTATAAGAACCTTAGGATTTAATCCTAAAAAGACAGTGAAGAAAACTTGCTGCTCATCAAAATTTCCCTCGAAGTATTAAAATCCATTGGCAACTGAATATTATTATAATAATATACATAATATTATTATAAACACAAATTATTTAGCCCTGTTATGGATTCACAGGATGTTGTGCACGTGGCTTGTCGCGCAGGCTGGCTGCGAGTGCGCTGCGTCAGGGTCTCTGCCGGATACCAAGGCAAGTCCCCGGCTTTGATTCCCCAAGACAGCATCTGGCTCTCACTGCGGCCCCTTCAGCTACTTCTAAAACACAACAAATCTACAATGAGCCTTATCCCTCTGAGAAGCTGTGAAATAACGACAGGTTCTGTAACCTCACTGGAAAGGCTAACGGACATGCAGGTACTGATCACTTCTGAAAGACTGGACCCCATTTATTATATAAATACAATAGCATCTTGGTTTCAAAGCTCTTGGATCCTTCTTAGTAAAGCGCACAAAGAAAATATGAAACACATTGGTTTACAACTGATAGAGTTAAAAAACATGCTGAAAAGATGACGGCGAAACAGTGGCTTTCACATTTCTAAGAGTGATTACATTCATTCTTTTGCATAATAAATCACACGTTCACTTCCAGACAAGAATTTAATTAAAGCTTATCTTAGAGAGCACTTTACACCAATTTATTATGGGAAAACACCAACTCATTTACTGAAGAAGAAAGGTGGAGCAGATTGGCAAACAGTCAGTGTAACATTACCATTACACTGACCTCAAAGAAATTCTAATACTGTACAGCTACAGCACTAATTAAAGTCCCCATTGATTTCTCCAGATTAATTTCAGCCAGTCATCTCAGTGTGACTTATCAGGATCTCATTAAAAAAGGTTGTAGTACATCCTCTCACTTATCCCTTCGAAACAGGTATTTTTAGGTGTTTGGGCAGTGCTCTGAACACAAGGCATTCCCTGCTTGTCTCATCGCCTAGCAATTCAAATGCAACACATTAAGAGTAAATAAGAAAATGTTCCCTTTGGATTGGGAAGTTTATTTTCTTTTACTGTGGAAGCAATAATTTACTCTTCTACTTTCCTCATGGAGGAAAAGTATATTTAATTGAGATCACATCAAGGGAATGAGGTCATTGACTCTGTTTGTTTTTCAATCCCTGTTAGTTTAGTGCTTTAGGGGCCAAATTAACTTTACCTTATTGCATAATAGATGGAATTGATCCTTTCAAGATTTGTTGATGAGAGTTGGCATTATATATGCTTTTCAAAAAGAAGCCAGGATTTAAACTTATGATCTCAGCCTAAACCTAATTTTCAGTCTTTTAAACATCTTTAGCTTTAACAAAAATTAACAGGGGACATGTGTCTCCTGTTTCAATGTAAATGAAAAAGAAAATGCTAATGGATTGGTGACAACAGGAGTGAATTATAATGTTCCTAGCATAAAAACACATTCAAAAAGTCTGCAGTGTATTCTTTACATTCTTCTTCAGCTTCATTGTAACGTGATCTGCCTTCATAAATCCCTGTATTTGTATTTATAGCATGCAAATCATAGAATAGTTTGGGTTGGAAGGGACCTTTCAAGGCCATCTAGTCCAACTCCCCTGCCATGATCAGGGACATCTTCAACTAGATCAGGTTTCTCAGAGCCCCGTCCAACCTGACCTGGGATGTGTCCAGGGATGGGGCATCTCCCACCTCTCTGGGCAACCTGGGACAGGGCTTCAACACCCTCACGGTCAATAATTCCTTCCTTCTATCTAGTCTGAATCTCCCCTCGTTTAGTTTAAAACCCTTACCCCTTGTCCTATCGCTACAGGCCCTGCTAAACGGTCTGTCCCCATCTTTCTCCTCAGCCCCTCTCACCCTGGCAGCTGCAGGAAGGTCTCCCCGGAGCCTTCTCTGCTCCAGGCTGAGCCCCCCCAGCTCTCCCAGCCTGTCCTCCCAGCAGAGCTGTTCCAGCCCTCGGAGCATCGCTGGGGCCTCCTCTGGCCCCGCTCCAGCAGGTCCGTGTCTCTCCTGTGCCGAGGGCTCCAGAGCTGGACGCAGCCCTGCAGGGGGGTCTCCCCAGAGCGGGGCAGAGAATGAAATGCTATGCCATATTTTGTTTACCTCCTATTAAAAAGTAGCCAAGCCAAAATAAAAGTGTAGAAAGCAAAAGCAAACCAATTCAGCTTTAGATTTCCTTTCTACTCCTGTACTGATGATGTATCACTACATATGGAAGGACAAAGGCAAATGCATTTCGATATTAATTTAAGAAACAATTTCACTGTTCTGCTACAAGTGTTTATATACTCCTTAAAGGAAACCAGCTTTCCAAAAGCTGATGGAACTTTCCTTCCAGTTTTTTCACACTTTGGTTTCTGGAAAACTAAATGTAGCGTCAATATTAGCACTATACAACTAACCCACGTTTTCTTTATAAACTTAGATTTCTTTGGGTATAGGCATATCTAAGTTTTGTTGCAGATTACAACCTGCACGCTAAAGAAGGCCAAACTCCTGAAGCAAACTTAAATTTGGGACAATAATTTGAAAGAAGTCTTTGCCTCATATCACATATGAGTGCATATTATTCCAGTGCAATACTATTAACAGAGCAAATAATCTCTTTTTATCATTGAACAATTTTAAAATGCTTTGCAAGAAATAAACAGTAATAATCGTTTATTTTTATTTCATTAGTTTTCCTTGTAGCACTGAAAACAAATTGCCAGAAAGCTACCACTATTAAGGTTTGTTTGTTTGATAGCATAATAGTTACTGTTTTAATAATCACAAAATGAGAAGTACTTTGTCAGGCGTATGAAAAATACTTAGAACTGAGAATAAATGTAACTAGTAATAATCTAAATAATATATACCAATAAACCTTTGTCAAAGTTTCTGGCTATATTAAAGCTACCATCTAAAGAATAAATGCCGTAAGAAATCCCATTATTCCAGAATAAAGTGGAAACGTACTGGAACTCCACTAAGGCAAATGCATTTTTTCCCTAGAGCAGCTGTTACCAGGTTTTTAGCCTACGAACACAACACAGGCACCTGAATTATTGTTGCTCCATTACTAGGGGTTTGGTAACACTCGGGTCACTATGCAAATCTCAATACCCATCATCTTTGTATTACAAATACACAACAGACACAGGGATGAAGGAGGATGTTCATGATCACACTAAGTCAGTAGCAAATGGCTCAGGCTTCTGATTTCCAGTTCAATACTTTTGTGCTAGAGGATCGCTAACACACAGACACAAATTCCTATGTAGGCAATACAGCCAACAAATTCCAGCTGTTTTCTAGTAAACAAGACAAGATTATTTTCTTAAAAGGGGAAATATGAAAAAAGTCCTAGTTTAGTCTCTGAAACTGAAAATGCTCACAAATTATCCTATTTGTCCACTTTGCAAATCTTAAACATAGCTCAGTAAGTCCATGACAAAAACTATGCACAATTTTGTAGGTGGTAGTCTTTACTCCTAGGTTTTTGTCTGACATTGTCTAGCAACAACACAGAGTAATACAGATTGGAAGGGAACTCAGGCGATCACTAAATTCAACCTCCTGCTCAAAGCAGGGGCAATGCTGAAGTCGGGCCGGGTCCTTTAGGGCTTTGTCATCTCCAAGGACATCATCTCTGGGCAACTTGCTCCAAAGTTTGACTGTCCTCATGGCAAATTTTTTTTCGCCCTTATGTGAAGCCAGAACCACCCATCTCAATTCATGAAACATGTTTTTTGTGTGCAAGATTCACATATTTTAAAACAAGATTTGAAAACTAAAGCATAGATGCTTCCAAATCTGTCTTTAAAAGAATTCTGGCACCTGCTTGGAGAATGTCCACATCCTCCTTCCTGTGGAGGGAGCTACTAATGATCAGATGGCATCAAAACAGTATGTAAATCTTTACCCTAAAAACAAACTTCAAACAAATTCATGGGCCTCCTCAAAAAATTGATTATATCAGTCTTGTGATCCTGTCTATAACATGCACATTACACTTTGATGAGGAAAAAGCAAAATAAGTTTGATTCTGATCTGATCATGGTAAACCCTGGAATGACTCCATTAAAGATGACTTATTACTGCAGATTTACAGGTGTAAACACCTCAGACTGGCCTATTTTAGCTCTAAGATAGAGACCACCACAAAACCAGAGATAATGTACTCTTAACTCTTCTTACATAGTATTAACAGGATACAAGAGCTAGATACAACCAAACACCACCTCACATCCTCAATAAGAGGAGCACAGCAAAACCTAAGCTTATTTTGAGGAAGTTTCCAGATTTCTTAGCGTTTGGAGAAATAGTAACATACTTAAAGTGAAGCAAAGGAAGGTCTCCATTAGAGACACAGAGATGCTTTTCAGCAGTAAGGGCAGTAGCAAGCTGCCCAGGGAAGCTGTATATTCCCTGGTTGGTTTTAAGAATGGATAAAGCAGCATCCAGTCAGGAATGATATACCCTAAAGGTGATCCTGCCTTGGGGCAAAATAGATTAGATGACTTCCTGAAGCGTCCCTTTAGGTCCCAGCGATTCTGCATGGATACTGCACACTCCGAACCAAAGCAAGACACCAAGTGCAGAAGCTGTTCTGCTGAGATCTGAAACACATCTTCAGTAATTAGCACAGAAAAGCAATGTTCAACATGCTTTAATGGATTGACTATTAAAATGTACTTTGAAAAAAATACTACTAAAATTCTAAAACAGCTTTGAAGAGTTGGAAGGTAAAAGTGCTTTACAACGACATGCCATAAACGAATACATAGACTTCAGGGGAGAAACTGACTTTGCACATGATCTCTGGATAAGCAAACTCCAGTTAATACACAGCTGTGAATGTAAAAGAATCTTTGGACACAAATTAACATGGTTGTGAAGACAAATAAAAATGGTAACTGTAGTATATTAAAATACAGGATAAAAGAAAGGTAGATAACTGTTTGAAACATATGGGCTCTAGTATGACTTTCTGAAGGAGATCCACGTTACGGTAGCCTGAGTCAGGACTCAACTCTTCCAGGCAGAGTAGAAAGAGAGATATATGCTAAAGACACAGCCCCTTCCTCAATAGGCTTGCAAGTTAGATGAAAAATTCTACAGCTCTTCAGAAGTTAGCAGTTAAGTTTACATCTGACCCATGTTGATACATCCACTTCTCGGACAGGCGCTACATAAGGTGCTATACATCTAGCTGCTTGTCCTCACCAAAAGACCAACGTGCAAGACATCCTTTGCTACAGGAGCAACAATAGGAAAATGTTCACGAACCATAGAGAAACATCTAATGAGATTACTCAGCATTTTTCATACCGTGTCTTCATCACGCTTCCCCCAAATTAAAAACTGAAGTTTAATTTTCCTGTGTTTTTGTATATAGCTCATCTTAGCTTTCATCTGTGATCACTGGGGAAAACATTACTTAAATGTAAACCTGAAGTTAAATTTAAGGAGATGAGACAACCTGAAACTCTTAATGTGTTTGCATTATAAAATATTAGAATTTCCTCCTACTACCATACCTTCACATGTCTCTCTCCTACTTTCAGTTACACATAAACTTTATCCTAAAGTTGAAAACAATTACATTTATAATTTTGAAAACTTATCCAACAGATGTATTAGCTTCCCAAGCGCCTTGATGGTAAGATACAGCTGTTCAGACAGCAGCCAACACAGAGCACCACAGAGAAGGAAAAGCATGGAAATTGAATCCAAGAAGGTAGATTATGCGACAAGTAATTAAAAGTTCCCTAATTGTTTTCTATGGCAAAAGAATATAAACAAAAATCTTTTCCTGTTGGTATGGCAAAGCTTCTAATGGCAGAGTCACAAGAGCTGCAGTTTACATGAAGCAGGAGGGTATGGTAATAGCTAAACTCATTTCCTTTCAAAGGTGAATTACAGTTCAGAACACAAACAAACATTCTCTTTACTTCAGCAGCGGGAAAAGAAGAGGGCATAAGGAAGTCCCATTTTAGCATAATGCAGAGTTTGTTATTTTGTTATTTCATACTCTAAAAAGTATAAATAAAGAGGCTGCCAAAAAACCCACACAGGATATGAGATCTATCAGAACTTCATGGGTGAAAGGAATTGAGTTGTGTGTCATTTGTAACTTAAAAATTGACCCCGGAATTTATTTGTCTTAAAAAAAAAAAAAAAAAATCAAAGAACTACACCACCATATTCTTTACAGAATATATAATTTGTCTAAATGATTACACAAGTTGGAAAAAAAGCTAGTTCTATTTCCTTACTCCACACACTACACCAAGTATTTGTCCTGCTCCGGTCTCCTACACTATCCTATCACCAATAAAGACCAACAACAGAACTCCCCTGCTACAAATGCCTCTTCATCCAACTCATTCTTTCGCACTTTCTACTTCCAGTAAAATCTCCCCACCCCAGATCATCTTCCCCATCCAAATACATAAAGATCACAACGAGAAGAGATATTAAGGGTTTTTTCTGTATCTCTATACCTTCTCAACAGGTACAAAAGTTTACCATGCTTCCCTTGGAACAAAACCAGCACCTCTGAAAATGCAGACTCATACAAAACAACAGACAATCAAAACAAAGCAAATGAAATTCTGTAACCATTGCCTTCTGCAGGTTTCAAGAACACCCTATTTTAAAACCAGAGCGGTACTTTCTCGCCTGTCGAATCCTGCCTTTTGCAGTTAAACAAGAGCCTACTAGAAGCTGTTGAAATGTACTGTGAGGCCTCAGTCTTGCTGCCAAACAAGTATCACAAAATGATTTTCTCCAGAAAAAGACACTCTTCCATCATGATGTAATTCTTGAAACTCCCATTTTGAGGAGCACGAGTAATACTCTGATGTGGTACTAAACACTGAGATTACCCATAAGGAGCATCAGCAACAATAGTTCATTCTCTCCCTCTCCTTTTCTTTTTAAGGCAGTCACTTAATCATTGCATTGTAGCTTTTAATTTCTGGATCTATTGAGATTTTAAAAATTTCATTCTACTTCAATAACTAGCCAGCTTTCAAGTTCACATAAAAGACCACTTAAATAAAATCACCTCATTGAAAACACACCAGAAGAGTTAATTGTACATATAGCACTTAAGTTGTCTGTAGTGAGCCCAATAGAAACAAAATATTACTAAAACTGAACAGCATCGGGGAGAAAAAGGCAGGACCTGTATTATGCAGAAAGAAAGAAGAAGCAATAGTTGAGGTTGTATGTGCCACAAAGCTGTTGTATATTTGAAGTACGATAATCCTGATAATTGCTGAATGTGCCAGTAAGAGTTTTACATACCTAAATTTTAAATTACCAAGGCTAATATGTACAAGTGACATGGTAAAGTATCAAAGGACATGCTTTTCATCCCTCGAGTCTACTAACCCAGCTCTTTGCCAGCACAAAATAAACACCTGGAGTTTTTTTAAAAAAATAATGAAGAGCAGCGTTTGGACATACAGACAAGATCAGTTTTGCCAAGTCCAAAACAGGAGATGCCTCATCAACACTGAGAACTACTAGGCTTTTTATTATAGAAAAATTTAAACGGCCATTGTACACTGTACGTTTTCAGTGTTTGTTTCTCCATGGAAAAATTGTACTGACAACATATATACTGTGAGACAAAAAGTTTCAAAAAGTAAGCTGAATTCAGGATTTTTATTATAACAAATTATTATGTCAAAAACCAACAGTTTTGTTATCAAGAATTTGTTTTACCCACTAGAGAGAGCACCACAGTAGGGATTTAGGAAATTATATTTCTGTTCTTGGCCCTGGTACAGACAAGATGTAAGGCTTTGGTCAGATCATTAGAGTTTTCCTAGACATAAAACTACATATAGCACTAACTATTGGCAAAGAAGTAATTTATAGCTGTATTATTATTATTATTAGAATAAGGAAAAATGTAGTTAGGCTGCACAGCAATTCCTTAACAAACTGCTGGTTTGAAAATACAACACTGTCATTGACTAGAAAAGTAAATTATACCTTATTTTAGAAAATTTAATTGGTCGCACAAACATTTTCCTTTAAAAGATATGAAATTATTCAGATTATTTTCTATTGGTACTTTTAATACCAATTCTACAGTTAGCAGTACTAAAGTGAAAGGTAAGTAAATAATACAGAACATTGGTAAACTTAAGCAAGATGACTTTAAATACTTAATACAATGCTTGAAATTCACTTCCTAACCCAGCTTCACCATATTTTTTTGTTCTAACACTTGTTTAATATTCCCAAAAGCTAGCTGATGATATGATGCAAGCTCTTCCTCACTGTTTTTAAACAATTTTAATGGTAAAACTATTAAATGCTTCCATAAAACAATTTTTCCCTGCACACATTTGATGGAATTGACCTAGGTACTTTGCACCAGTAAAGTGGGAATTATCAAACAAAAATCTACACAGTACCAGCAACATGCTGATATCAAACAGGATGCACAGAAGTGAAAAAAAATGATCAGTAGTACCTGTAAGCTTAATTTTGGACAAGCGTGCCAAAATTCCTGGCAAATCATCCAGCTGCAGCTTCATTTCTTTCCATTGTCTGTCGTCTTTAGATTCTGCTCTTACTGGTGTGACTGAGTCTTCAATTTCTGCAGCTGACTTCGTTTCTCTCAACTCATTTCTGCTTGATGTCTCAGACAAAGGTTGATGAACAGGTGAAATTGGTCTAATCTTGTGTATCACCTTTTTTTCTTGATCCAATTGCTGAAGCTCACGGAAAGGAGATGCAACTGAATCTGACTTAGGTTTTGCTTGTTGGCTGAGGTCTTTGTTGTGTTGCGTTACATACTAAATAGAATGAGAAATGTTAAGATGAACAGTCAAGAAGATATTTCTGTCCATTTCAGGTTATTAACAACATCAGTTGTATTGCTATATTATTCTTATCCTTAAGAGAATGTTTTCCTATGATGACATGACTGAGTTAACCTGAATTTCAAATGCTTATTTCAATGCGAAAAAGTTTCTTAAGTTGGACAAGATATTACAAAGGCAGCTTTTCATTTCACAACTGCATCAATAATGTTTATTTAAGCTCAAGGAATTGCTTCTGCATAAAACTATTTCCTCCCTTATAGTTTCAACAGCAAACTCTACTTACGTTCAAAACTACCAGATGATATAGTTTGATTTACAACCAATCAATTCACCTTTAAACAAAGGGATACACACATGCCCATAACAACCACAATCTCCAAATATAAGCACTAAACTTTCTGTATCTTTAAGATATAAAAAAAAATCAGAAAAATTCCAGAAAATACAATCTACCTCCTATGATATAAAATCATCTCCCATATTAGGCTATTACTGTTTATTACAAACTTTATGCTAATTTATTAGACTTATCAATTTTCAACAGGAGTTCATATGAACACACATTGAAAGGAAAGCTAGGAGACAGTCATTTCCTCTCTTTTAGAACTCTTACAGAATAAGAAAAAGAGCATTTAACTTCTCCTATTTTTCTATTTTATTTTCTAAAATATTCTATATATTTCAAGCACAAGAGACAGGCATAAAAAGACTGAGCTTTTAACTAATCATTTGCACAATAATTATAATGAGAAAGAGGGATCTGAAACTTTTCAACTCTAAATAAGTGTTGTGAATACAGCTCACATCGATAGGGGGAAAAAAAAACAAACAACAACAAAACCAATTTGCAAAGTGCTAGTGATCTCCGGAAGCGTGGAAGAGACCCCCATCTCTTGCTTCACACAGGACTGAAGCTCAAAAATACCAACAGATGGACACGCTTCTTGCAGTCAAAGCAGTCATTCGCTATAAGGCTTAGTCTTATCCCTATTTTGTAGCCATAACTCCAAAGTACAATGAACAGGACACAACTCGGGGAAGAGCAAAGTAAGTCTTTTACTACCATCCTCTTACATGCGATAAAACTGTTCAAAGAAGAAGATACAATTTCAAGGGTTTGAATGATAATTACAATTTTTAATACCTAAAACTAACAGCACACAATAGACTGTAACCTATTAAGTTAACAACCTTGGGAGTTTTGATCAAATTAGCTGATTAACTCTTCAGTCAGAACACACTACCTCCACAGGTGAGTTCTGCCTGTCACTTGTACAACTGCTAGCCATACAACTGCTGATTCGCCTATTGGCATTTTAACAAATAATATTGAAAATAATTTCATTTCACATTTCTCAATGTGAGACAAGTGCTCCACTTCAAAGGCACAGAAAGCCCTCCATCAGGCAGAGGACTCGCTGTGGCAAAAGCATTGTCCTCCCTTTCCTCCAACGTCAGGTATTTCAGATACCAAGTGCTTAACTCCGATGCAATGAAGAGAAGGAGACACTTGGGATTGCCTGAGCTTGGTAGATTTATCAACTAGTATCCATTTGGACTCATCACATGGGACAAAATGAATTAAAGAGTGAAAAACCTGGAATGAACACACTCCTTGACTTACCATTCGTTTGAGAAAGTTAAAGTACTGAAACGTAATCAATCTGTCATTGGCTACGTGGCACAGATGCACAAACTGGCATGGTATCTGCCGTATTCCCATGTTCTTCAGATGCCAGACAAACAATCCTGTTTAAAGAAAACAACAGAACATAGAATTCCAGTTCCTTCTTTTCAAGCTTAAGAGACAGGCATAAAAAGAAATTTGAGTTTGCTTCTAATTCAGACTACAATGTCTACTGCCAGCTGTGACAGAAGACACGCCACCACATGGGAACCAGGGATGCTCAGGTGGGCAGAAACATGTTTGCAGGCTCCAAATGAGACAACTGAAAGTCTAAGCTTGCCCTGACGGTTTGGGGGTTTTCTTCTGAATCTCCTAGCTCCCCAGAAATGCATTTTTAGTTTCTCCTTCCATGATTATCTCTACTTATCTTGGCAAAACGGCACAAGCAGCACTGAAAGGACGCAGCTGACATAGGGCAGTACCAAAGTCAAATACATGAAGAGGACACCCCTGTGCGACACGACACCTATCTCCCTACATAGAGGAATATATACAAAGATATACAAGGCCTATACACCACTCTATAGAGCAGACCCAGGGACTACTCACAACCCCGGGGTTAGGTCGGCGCGACCCCAGCCGCTGCCC